TTTTACTTTTGTTTTTTTTAAAAAAAAATTTAATTAAACTTTTTTATATATTCGTTCCCCCAAAATTAACTTTTTGTGTGTTTAAAAAAAAAAAAATTTTTTTTTTTTTTTTTTTTTTTTTTTTTTTCAGTTATAAATACTAAGCCAGTTAATAGAACAAAACAGCTGTTGATTTTATTAGATGAACGGATTTCATTACAAATAATGGCACATAGAAATCAAGAAATCGAAGATCGACGACGACGACGACGCACTCAATAAAATTAAGACACGTTTCGTAAATTTTTACGTCTAAAATAAGATTTGTTAATATTGTTAACCCTGTGCATACACACTGTTAATGGTAACAAATAATTCTAACATTATAAATAATAATCGTAATTATTTTCATACCTACATAAATCTTTTAATTATAAAATTATCAGATATTTTGAATTCTAGTCACTTTTTATATAATTCACAAAGAATTGTTTATTTATATACCTTATCAACAATTCCACCTGGTATTATATTTTTCACCACAACACCTGTTGATTTATTACCAATAATACCAAAACCGAGACCCGTTCCAGATCCATCATTTATTAATTCAATAACTTCAATTTGTGTCCATTCCGTATTTAACTGAAAAAAAAAATGAGAAAAGAAAATAAGAAAGTATCAATAAGAAAAAAATCGATTATCATATTATTCTTAGTAGATGAAACATACAGTTTGAATTTATCTAGAACGAATATGTACACTATGTTTTATTAATCCTACTATATGTAAATTTTATTTTATATTGACACATTCTAACACTAAAACTGTTTAGTAAAACTTTTTCTTCTGATAAAAAAATTTTAACAAATTTATATTCATTCTATCAATAATTTCTTTTTTAAATACACAAACAAAATGTTAAAAAGGAAAAAATAACAATTGAATATAATAACTTTTTCGTTTCTGATAACATCACCGCTTTTGATCGAACGTCGACAAAACATACTATCATAAATACAAATAACTTAGAAAATCATTCTTTTTCTTAAAAAATAAATCATGTTTCTTTTTGCTCTTGTATATATTAAATGAGAAGAAGAAGAAAAAAAAAAAAGATGAAGAGGATGTTTTTGATTTTGTCAGATATATTGAAAAAGATGTAATAATGTATGAAATACAACAGTCTATTTTTATTTCGATTGTTGAAAGAACAATAGTTTTAAACAGTTAAAGTATGTTTTCGTCACATTGATGTTAAAATATTTGCTAATTTATTTCGTTTATATTAAGACTGTTCGGTAGAATGAGTGCATATAGCTAAATTATATAAACAATAATGAATACAAATCATTTCATCATATATCATTTAAACTGGCAACTTATTTCTGATCTGTTTTTATTTTTTAGTAAGAAATTAACCGTATAAAATGTCAAAACAGTTAAAACTACGCATGATATTCATAGTATTTTATAACGCGACAAAATTGTCGATGATAGTATATATAAGAATGTTTTTTTCTTTTATCTGACAATACATGAACGTTGTCTGATGAAGTTGTTTTTTTTTCTATTTGAAAAACTCAGATATAAACAATAAATTAACTTACCACCATGTCTACGTTAAATGGTATGGTGTTCCCCGTCGGAGACCTGTCTTTAGACAGGTTACCATGGGGTAAATTTTGCCTATTTCTTGCTATAACTAAATCAATTATTCCTTTTGAATTCAATAACAAATGAACAGCTGGAGAAATAATTTATCAATCTTTTGAATCGAGATAATGTTCGTCTACCCCCACGATTTGATCACCTGGTCAGATAGAATCATCTCTAAAATGAAACAAGCGTAAACGATTAATTTAGTGGAAAAAACAATTGTTTTTATCTTCTTGTTTGGAAGAACATATGTAAAAATGATTCTGTCTGGTAGCTTTAACAAGATCTTCTGACAAATCGTGCTCAAACTCCGAAATTCTTCTTGAAGAAAAAAGAGTAGACAGAAGACAGTAGTATTTATATTGTATATAATGTAAAACATATCTAAACCAAACATATCAGCCATATGAGTTTGCTTCTGAAGAGCTCAGTACTTTACTTCAGGCACCTAATAATAACTTTTTCTTATTAAAAATATGCAACAACATCGACAATTTGAAAAAAAAACGCAAATATGATAAATTATGTCAGAATTACACCATTTAATATTTGTTTTTGACAAGGACACGGTTATAGTCTGCTTTCACTTCCATTTTTTTCTTCACTATTTAATTTTAAAAATTAGATTTTTTTCACAAATAGAAAAAGAAAAGAAGATTGAATACGTATACGAAACACGATTCCGGACAAAAAACACGAGTTTTTCTCAAAATAAGAGAACATCATTAGCATACATAGTCTAATCGGTTATTTTCATCGAATATTTTTCTGATTAAATATGAAACCCACCTGCTAAGTGTAGAAAACCAGATATATACAATACATGAGGATTATTAACAGAATGAGGCAATATGTTCAATATTATTTTGCCAATTAGCAAACGTCTTTTGAAACGGTATTTTTAGCTATCAGATGTGAAATAGGAACTAAATTGATGAGAAAACGTTTAAAAATGCTGTTATTATAGTTGTATTGCACTTGTACAAGAACTGAGTAGATGATTTCTGAGGGTAACCGATCGAGATTGTTCTGAAATAAGACGGAAAGCATATTTTGACGATTTCTTGAAAAAAGTATCAGTCACAAAAGAAAATAAACCATAAAATTTAAAAATAGAGCTATGATGGTGCATTAATGGTTATGACCAGAATTTCCATAATAAGGTTCAACAGTAAGTTAGAAAAGTTTGTTCACTGTTGATGACCACACAGCTTTACTGAAAACAAGCAGGGATATTTCTAAGGATTTAAAACTATTCTCATTCTTGTTATAATGAATCAGAACACAGTGGGCATCCAGGCAGCTTTTTAACTTTTGGCAAAAAAATCGAAAATGCATTTTTCTCGGATGTAGATAGGAAGAAAATATACTCGGACATTTATTATTGCCGTGAAAGTTTTTGTTCCAACTACTAAAGGTTGTGAGCAAAACCACTAAGGGAAAATTTTAACTGCAAATACAAGTACGTGACACAAAAATCTTTTTTATTAAATTCAACAAAGTTAAAAATAAAAACGATGCGGATTCTGAATCTAGACCCTTTTGGCTATCCAACAGCGAACGAATTTCGTTTCTCGGACTTAAACAACTGAAGAAATAACAATAGCTAAAACAATTAATTTAGTTTCCGTACAGTTGTAATCAGTATGAGTGCGCCCCATTCCGTCCAAATTCAAACTAGATCAAACTTTTCGAAAACGAAGGTGATATTTAACGTCAGCGCATAAAACTGCATCTAATGTTATATAAAATGGATTTTTTCGATCGAAAAAAATTTGGGATCGGATCTTCCGTAGGGGTTTTTGTTCGAAACAAACTTTTTTCTAAAACAACCTTATTTTGCTGAATTCTGCTTTCTGAATGATAGAAAGTGATTTTTATGTAAAAAAATCTCGTTTTTTGATTAAAACAGTCTCATGTCCGCCTGCCTAAGTCGAAGCCTAGACAAAATTTATTGAAAATTCTGATAAGAATCATATCTGATTCTTATCAGATTCTTATATAAGAAGTGGTACGAATTTCATCAGAATCAGATAAGAATTGAGTAAGAATTTCATAAGAAAGTGATAAGTGTCCTTAATAATTCCTTATTGACTTTTTATACAATTTTAATTCAAATTACATCAGATTCTTACGAAATTTTTTCAAAAATTATTCTTCTCATTTCCTTCTCGCACAAAATACCGTAGTACTTAAACTATGCTACATATATTAATTCACTAAGATGTTCCAGAAGTATAGCACATGACTTGCGTTGAAACACAAGCTATTTGAGTGGAATGATTAATATGTTTTGAAATCTTATGCAACTACATTTCCACTTATAACAAAAGTTGAAGATGTTGTGGTAGAATATAAAGATTTGATGTTTACATATAGTTGTAAACAATGATGGTGTTCTAAAACAAAAGCAAAGAAATCAATAAACGACAACGTCAACCTCAACACCAACAATAAGAACTGAAACAAAAACTTGAAACAAACGCTCTCGTTCCTGAAGAATTATGAACATATCATTTTTAATCCAATAGGGATTTTAATCAAAATTACCAGCACCTTCTGGATTAATCAAAAAAATACTTAGTTTATCATTTTCAAGCGTTTTTTTGGCTTTATATTTATATGTTAATGTAATTGTAGCATAGTTTGTTAATAATAATTTAGAATATTTTCAAAATCAGGCTAATTTATATCAGCAATGATTATTAATTTAGCATTATAATTCTAAAGATCTAGAGACCATTCTCCTCTGAAAAACATATGCAATGGTTCGATCGATCGAGCGACCGATGTTTTGCCTAAAACAACAGAAAAAGTTAATGAGAATTAATTTTAAAACAACAAGCCTGCCAGTGTTGGACCAATTATAAATAAACAACGTGTGTGATCAACAGGATTGACAACAGCATGACGTTTCATATAATGATTGTAATACCAATCGAAATACTTATGTTGATATCGCCATTAAACATATCCACTGTATATTTTGACTTGTATGGTCGTACTTTCTTTGATTTAGCCAACATCATTTTCAAATTATTTTTAATGGTTGGTTGTATAATGTAACAGCAGCTCATATGTCAAGGTGTACGATATTAAAAGCTATTAAGAGAAAGAGGAACGCAGGTGACGAGAGAGAGAGAGAGAATAAATGAAAGATCTCTTTGTCTTTGTCTTTATAATGTATCTTTATCAACAGAGCGTGACTGAAATGCAGACATGGCTAATTCGTTTCTCTTTGTTATTATGTCAGAATGATTTTGATTATTTGCATCATTTTTTCTTTTAATAACAGATTCAACAAATAGTATATTGAATTTAATTCTATTATTGAATGCATCAGAAAGTATCTTATTCTTATAATGAAGTGATTCTATGTTCGGTAAAATATCATTTAAGGACAAAGTTTGAAAGTTGTCTTGTGTAAAAATAGATAAATTATGATCATCGTTATTTTCACATACAGCAAGATATTTAATTAATTGTTGATATTGATTAAGAATTAATTCATGGATTTTATAATATTCCTTGTTAGAATTAATATCGACAAACGTGAACTAGGTTTATAAAAATGATGGTCACTCATTCTGTTACCAATGTTATCAATAACAAAAAACTCAGTTATATGAAGATCACAACGGACTGAATATTAAAATGAATGAGAGATAATCTGTACATCCGAAATTACTTTTTTTTCGTGTAGTACTGTATACACATAACTACTGTCTTACTTATCCTTAATAAACTTCAGAACAAACTAGTGACTGTGAAGAAGAAAGAAAAACCGCTCAGTAATTTCATAATCGTTTAACGAATCAAAAAGTAGTAATGGGTGGTTCTGTCACTTAGAATAATTGAAGACTCAATTTTTATTCAATAAAAAGCCAAATGCTACCATTTTCGATTCCCCTGTTTCATTTGTTTGAACAAAACGGTATAACTCATTGATCCCTAAATTTTTCACAGGGTAACCTGCGCAGGTTCGAACTCTAAGTAGATCGATCTTTATAAAAACTTTTTTTTGTTCATTATTGTTAAAAACCCATGAGAATTGCTCAGAGAATCATTTTGAGTGGGAAAAAAAAATGTTTTCGTATAAGAATTTTATAAGGAATCAACAGGAAATTAATAAGGGGTCTTATCACTTTCTTATGAAATTTGTTCCACTTTCGTACCACTTCTTATATAAGAATCAGATAAGATTCTTAACAAAAGCAGATAAGTGACATGATTTTTATCAGATTCCTGTCAGATTCTTATATAAGATTTGATGACTGGGAAAATGCCGCCATGCAGAACAAGTACGCTGATTAGTACTATACAAGACGTCATGGGTATAGAAAGATTTCTCGTTACCTGTCAATAATACTCATTCTTTTATAAATTCTGAATTTTTATCTGATTTCGAAACAATACTAAGCAATTATATGATTTTTCTTCGCACATTAAAATCTTACATGATAAATTTGAAAATTTCTCATAGCGTAAAAATGTTTAATATGAATAAAACGGTCTTATACTATTACTAAAATTGTGCGAGACGGTTAAAATGTCAGAAATATAGACGTGGTGAAAAAATATAAAATTAATTTTATTTCTTATTTAAAAAGACAGAATAAAAGATATTTTTTGAAGAAATAGGTGATATATTTTATTCATCAACATGCAATAACTTATTCCATTATCTCCGTCCTTGCTTTTTTCAGCAAAGCTTTTGATTTTGTGTTGAATATAGCATAATGTAAAGAAAAGGCTGTACTACAAAATAAGGCTACTTCCAACGTTCCACAACCAGTCAGTTTTGGCTCAAAAGGCTACGATCTCTCAAATGTTTTAGTTTTGTCCGTTTTCCCTCAACATTTTTCTGTTATATACAGCCTGATAGGGCAAAGTATCCTTTTCACGATGCGATCTCTCTCAAAGGTGTTGTCCGTGAATTTTCGTGAAGATGTGAACA